AGCGGGCTTGGCCGCCCGGGGGAGCCGGTCCTCGGGGCCCTCGTCCTCTTTAGCACCCGGCGTCTCCAATTTACCTTCCACCCGTCGTCACCTGCAGCTGCTCAGAACTTCTTACCCTGGAATTACGTCCGGTTAAATCGCGGCAAAGTAAGTTCTAAGGGAAGGTGGAGATCGAACCCACTTGGCGGGGGGCGGAGGGGGGGCTACAAAATTATTCGGAGAATCAGTGGCCGTGAGCTGTGTGACAGCCAAATATTTTCAGGGCTCATCTCTAGGCTTTGCAAACCCACCTTTTTGTTGAGGGGGAAATAACATCTGGGTTAATGCTCGCTCTCTGGTATTCTCTTTGGCCTTGGTCCAACTTCGTGTTATGCAGCATGCAGAGCACTGGAAATGTGGAAATTTGAAGAAGGACCAGCCAAGTGATACCAGAGCCTCCGTGTGCTCTCATGCTAATGGGTGATGGAGCTTTCACACTGTTGAACTCTGTAGGTATGAAGCTTGTAGGCGATTCCTGGCCAGGGGAGGAACACCTGCATGAGGTGAGCCTTTAGAAGTATCAGTTTGACAAACATACCCAAGGTACATAAAGTAGTTTATGGCTGCTTTAACAATGTAAATTGAAACGACAGGGAGGACTAAATACAAAGTGCACGCTGTGTAGGTTCCCTGAGAGAAACACAGATCAAAGAAGTACTGAGCAGTGCAGCGGTGAGGAACAAGTAGGCTGTCAGGGGAAGAACTTAGAGAGGAAATAGGGATCTGAAAATGCAGTGAAGGATAATGGGAAGAACAAATCACAGCACTAGTGCAGGCCTGAATATTAGCCGGCTCCCCTGTGTACAGGTCACTTGCTTCTGTTTGGGTATTTCTGCTGTGCTTGTCAGGGTTGTTAGTATTTCCAATCCATGTTAAAGGGCCTCTCAGAACAGATGCTCATTCTGCTGGGAACTCTGCAAATGCAGTATATAGACCTCTATCCGTTTTGTTCATGTGAACTCTGTAACTAGAAGATTGCTCAGTTCTGAACCAGGGAGAACAGTAGGAGGCAAGTAAGAGTCAGGACTTGAGATTTCAAACCTGAATGGTGCCACATTTCACCTGTACACTTACTAGCTCAGATTTTCATGCCCAGGTCTATAGCGTTCAAGTCTTAAAAGACCAGAGTCATAGAATGAAGGGTAGAAAAAGGGAGATAACATGAATAATGGATGAACAAAATTGCAGAATTATGTTAACTCTGCGATTTTATGAGGAAAAACCCCCTCTTTATGAGGGGATTCATTATGAGGGGATTAGCCACCAACAAAAAAAAATCACAAAATATTTTAGTATGGAAAAAAGCCTGTATTCTCCATTTGTTCTTTAGTTACTGTTGGAGTGGCTGCAGGAAATAAGGTTTTAGTTTTATTTTAGTTTTACTTCTATATATTGCAGTGTTATGGTATTTTATGTGAATTTTATATTTCTGTCATAATCAAAGGAGTCCTAGAATTGTTATGAAGAAGAAACACAAAAACTGCCATGATGACTCATGCCATTAGTATTCTGATATGCTCAGATCAGATGTTACAGAGGAAGGTGCAAGAAATCTTTATGTAATTGTGAACTAATGTGCTTGTATTTTTTCTCTAGCAATAAACAGTTAAAGCTGGCTTCTACCTAATAGATTAGCCTTTATTTATTTATTCGTGTTACTTGTATACTAGGAGTCAGTTCACCTTGTGCTAGGCGTTGTCCAGACAAATAGAAACAGATGGTTCTTGTCCCAGAGATCTTACCTTTTCTCTATATATTAATACCTATTTTGTGTTTTCCTTTTATCTGATTTAATGTAAATGCAGGTGTTCTTATTATGTCTGTAAAAGTGTTATCCTGCTTTGAAATCTGCTAAACTGTAAGCCACAAAAATAGCTTGTGGCAGTAAATTGCATAGATTGGTTAAGCTCTGTGTAAAACAAGCATTTCTTTTCAAGGGTGTCATCTGGACACCGCTGTCATAGAAATACATTCTATTTCACAGTTCTCCCTGTGATGTTTTATTTGTGCTGTACAGGAGAGAGTAAAGGGCCGAGTCCTGTATTAGCACACAGGAGACAGCTCTTGTTACAAGTGCCCATTGCAACCCTTTGGGCTCAGTCTGAGTGAGAAAACTGAAATGTCTTACAGTCTCCTGCCTGGTCTCTTTGACGAATCAGCAACAGTCAGTGAGGTGTGCTGTCAAACTGCTTGTACCATGGATGTTTTACCCTTTGTGTATTGTAAAAGAACATTGTTTATCAACATGTCATCTCAGTGCTGTATGTTATGAAATGCTATGATGGGTCAGTCTTTTGGTATTGTGTCAATTTCTGCATAAGCAATTCACCTCACAAACATTAATATGTTTAAATTTCCTTGCCTAACACTTGTTGATTATTTTTCCTCGATGTAATCCCACCCAGGGTTCTTTTTTGGTCTCATCCTACTTCACATAACAAATATTAGTTGTAGTGACTCCTTGTCTGACAAGAAAAGCCTGTGAAAAGTCCAGTTGTTTGAAGAAGCGAAATAAAAGTTCCAGACCTTTGAATTTAGGCCCTAACATGGCAGTATTGACCCTTGTTTCCAAAGAAAGGCTAATACCTCGCCTCGAACAGATTTTTGTTCCCAAGGTATCTCAGGTAGCTGCTTCCAACCTATTGCCATGATACTCCATCTTGTGAGGAATCCAGCAGAGCAGTTATGGTCTTTTTACTCAGATGTTTATGCAAAATCTTATCTAAGATCCTCTGTTGCATTGCTTGTTGCCCATGGTATTGACTCTCATCAAATTTAGGATACTTTACTGCTACAGAATACAATGCTATAGGGTAGAAGGTTAGAAATGTTCAGCTCCTGTATGTGCTCAGGATGAGGCTTCATTGAGTGTTTAGAAGTACCTATAATTTATCTTTACTGTTCATTGGTGGCAGTCACATTAAAGGCATGCATGGAAGTACTGCGTTATTGCAGCTCTTGGTGCCAAAGGTGTGCTCTGCAGACTGTGAGGTAGACAATAACCCAGACAAATGATGAGCTTTTGTAGCCCTGTATTAAACAGTAGCTTGCCCTTCTCTAGGAAAGCTAAACACCAACAGACTTCTCACAGTGTTGGTTGTGTGCGGTGCCTTTTGTTCTAGCAAGAATGAATGGCTGCATGACAAAATATTTTTAATTGTAATTCCAGTTTATATAATAATCAGAAGCAGTATGAGGATGGAGACCCTGGCTTTCTGTTTCCCTGTTCTTGTACCTTGTATATGCTCTTCTCCTGTTCTGATTTATTGCTTACACATTTTGTTTGGCTTAAATAAGAGATATTAAGTAGGTTTAAATACATACAGCTAGGCTATTGACAGATTATTGAGTTACCACCACACCCACCACAGGAGAGCCACGAAAGGGCCATCTTCGTAAGACCAGAGGAGCAAGCACAGTTGGCACAACAGCAGGCAGGAACCCAAATTAAAGGCTAAGAGGAAAGGAGATCTTGTCCAGCCCCCTTCCAGGGCTGCCCCAGCAGACCCTCAGTCCTAGTGTCCAGGTGTGAAACTCATCACCATAAGCCTTGAGGAGCTGCTCTCCAGGTTACCTCTTGGACTAAGTGGGGTTGCTAGCTGGAGGTGGGGGACACATAAGAGGATGCAGGGCAAGAGCTTTTGGGGATTGCACAGGATTTAATATGGAATGTTCGGGGGAGGAACCAAAGGCAGGACAAAGGAGGGATTTAGGCAATTTGGGCAGTAACAAATGTGGGATAAGGGAATAAAAGTGTTCATCTGTGTGAAGGGTTGGCTGGCCAGGATGCTTCTCTGATGATGTCCTGCACCTGACCAGCAGTCTCTTTACTAAACTTCACCTTCAACTGTTTTCCAGTAAGAGGCTCTTTACTCCCTGTGTGTATGTGGGGGGTCTGTGGTGCAGCAACTGGAGAGAGTATGGGTGAGACTGCAAGCAAAGATCATGCCAGATGAACCAGTGAGTAGGTAAAGTGGGCTGGGGGCCAGGATGGGTTTGGAAGTCTCTGAGGGCCACCTCTGGGTCTGAGAGTGGCTGCTGGTCTGTAGGGGTGAGACAGCAACTGGGGAGACTGGGATCCAGGAACAGCTACTTAAGACATACTGTTTAAGCCCTGCTGCTGGAGGGCTTCACTTTGTAGATATGTATTCCTACACATGGAACCCCATCCTGCTCGGCTGGAGCAGGGAGCGGGGTGAGGCTGGTGGTGCTGTCAGTGTTGGTGTGAGTGCTCTGTGTGTGTCTGTCTGTGATCTGTATGGCCAGTGGTGTACATATGTATGTTTGTGGTGTATACATGTGCTCTGTGTGCTTGTGTCTACTGGGAATACATGTTCAGCCTCACTACTGGTTGGACCTGGGAGCATGGAGTGGCAGCATTGCCTCTTATCGTGCTGCCACATTAGGTATATTTTCCACTAACACAAATCCTTAGAGAAAAGCACATACCACACCACTGTTACTTTAGTTCTGCTTTCCTTTTTTTATTTTCTGTCTCTTTGTATTCCGTATCAAACTCAGTAACCAAGGACTAGGTCAGCACAAATGCATTTTAGGATGATTTGAAATGAAACTGAGTGGGATCACGTGCCTGTAGCCAGTCTTTTCTGATATCTCCTCCCTGGATAAAATTGCTTTGTGCATGAACACAACGGTAGTGTCTTAGCTTCTTTCTTGTCACTGTCAAGGCTGTTGGTCATGTTGCAAATGCACATCACTCACATGGATGATGATCTTCTGACTGAGAAGCATAGAGGGAAGCATAAAATTGAGGATCTATTTTGACAGTGATGGTTCCCTAGGGGAAACACCATCATCCATCAATAAACACCCAAACACTTTCTTTTCTACCTGAAAAATTCTTTCAATGTTCTCATATATATCATGCCTCTGTCTGAACTTTATGAAAAATTTTCCTCTGCTCCACACTGTCCACAGTTCTTAATCAGCTTCTATGGGAAAAGTGCATGTCAGTGATTGACATGCTTCCCCCAGTGTTGGTTCACCTTTACCAATATAATGAACATAAAATAATGGGCTAAGATTGTCTGTGCAGCTAACAGGCCATAAGGTGACTGTTTTATGAAGCATTATCTGGTGGTCATCTC